TATAGTTAGGGCTGGTTCAGGTTTATAATTAGGGCTGGTTCAGGTTTATATTTAGGGCTGGTTCAGGTTTATAGTTAGAGCTGGCTCAGGTTTATAGTTAGAGCTGGCTTAGGTTTATAGTTAGGACTGGTTCAGGTTTATAGTTAGGGCTGGGGGGGGGGGGGGGGGGTGTTCCTGTACCTATGTGAGGGTCCCGGGACAGAGGATGTCATATATGTACAGATTGTAAAGCCCTCTGAAGAAAATTTGTGATGTGTGATTTTGGGCTGTACAAAATAAATTGAATTGTATTAACTCAGGAACTTGTACTTTAGTCTGGTATTCATTGTTAAAAGTAAAAAAAGTAATCTTTAACATTATGTGTAGCCTGTAATCTAGTAGTTACACTTCTCTTTAGTTGTTAAAAAGTTGGTTAGTGCTTTTAATTTAGCCTCAACTTCCTCGTCCAGTCTTTGGTGGTGAAGTGTGACTGTTTGAAGGAAGGTGGGAGACATTTACGACTCTTTCATACTGATTTAACTTTTAAATAAATTCAGAAACAATGATGATGCAGAATAAATGTTACCTGTAGCCAGGGGTGACTGAGGGTCTTGTCCACACTGTATCTCTTCCTCATCTTTACTTGCAGCAGGTTGTTAATCAAATCAATCGCTGGAAAGAAGGAAAGAAAGAACAAGGAAACAAGGAAACAAGAAAAAAAGATGAGCGAGAAATGCTGAGGTAAAGCGAGTGTCCAACAGAGGGAGGGATGCAGAAGGGGAGGAGGATGTAGCCCCCCTGTGGTGAGGGGCCACTCGGGGCTAATGAGCAAAGCTAACATGATGTTAACATTTCTTCAGGGGTCAGCAGTCTGAACAGCTCGAGGACCCCGGGGCCCCTCAGGTCTACAGAGGCCTCCATCGCTTGGCATTATGCACATGAATGGAGCAGCACATGAATACCCCCCCGAATCTGTCCGTCTCACTCTCTTTCCAGGAACTGCCTGCACTCTCGCTGCTTTTCAAGGCTTTTTTTTAATCCCTCCTACATTCCTCTTTCTCAGCGGAGTCACATGACCCCGTCGTTAATCCACACTTTTTGTTTTCCTCTAATAGTGGGGCCGAACGATGGCGATGTCCGTCCATCCAACACCAGCTCTGAGAAACATATCTACAATTCTCAGACAGATTTACTCAAGTTTTGTCCCATTTTTTCAAGTGTCAAGTTATTCTTGACAATTTTGTTTGAGTAGAGCATAATTGGATGTTCAATGCCTCATGCTGCACATGAAACTGACTGTTCTAACAGAGATAGAAACAGTATCAGACACCAAATGTTTTATTTAAATGTAAAATAGTTTGAATGAAATTGATCAAACAAACGTCGATTTAGTGTTCAGCTGATATTCCAGTTGTGCTAACCCTTGACTAATCTTCCAACCAGCTGACAAACTCCGACAAATTCTGAAAAGTAAAGCCGATGCTTCATGTGTTAAAGCTGCATTCTCTCTACTGACCATCAGGGGGCGACTCCTCTGGTTGTATAGAAGTCTATGAGAAAATGACTACTTCTCTCTTGATTTATTACCTCAGTAAACATTGTAAACATGAGGTTATGGTCTCAATCTCTAGTTTCAAGTCTTTCAAGTTCATTTAGTAAATTATGGTCCATTTAGACTCAAACAGACCATAAAGCAGGGTATGCTTTAGGGCGGGGCTACACAGTGATTGACAGGTCTCTACCAGAGACGTATACGGTGTCTCTATGTTACTCCTGCTCAGTCCATACATGGTCACTTCCGGTTCACTGGTTGCAAAAACCAAGATGGTGATGGCTACACTCCACATATCAATAAGTCCACTTCTTATATAGTCTACGCTTCCAACTCCTCCTCATGCAGCGGGTCGTATGATATAATACGAAAAGGCTGGAGATCTCTGTTCGTTCCTCATGTGAAACGAGAAGTTAACGTTTTCCTAAACCTAACGTCGTAGTTACAGCTGCCTAAACACAGTTGTTTCCTGTGGAGACGGAATTTTGTTTTGAAAAGACTGTAGTCATGTAAAAAGCTTAAAGGGACACGTGTTGCTGGACTTTTGTAGGAAAACGCACGGAAAATGAGTAAATTTTTCATCAGATATCGGGGGATGTTTGTCGCTTTCAGTTGTCAGTCTGGTTGAACCATTGAACAGCGTTTTGTTGTCCATGTACTAAACTAAATAACTATTATTATAACTATAACTATCTATTAAAGAAATGTTCTACAAGATAAAAGCCTCAAAGACATTCAGCAGATTACTAACTCTTACTTTCTTCTTCTCCTAAACAACATTTGAAGTGTTAATGGATACGATTAAAAGCATTGACTAGCTATATAATTCACTGTTCAACCGCGTCATGCAACATATTTTTGAGAAAGAAGTTGCATAATATTCAATTCATGTTTAACATGACAATATAACTTCTTTATTCAAGTGTCACCATTATAAAACTTGAATCGTGTTTGTGGGCAGACCAATAAATGAGTTACAGAATCCATTTATTAAAGTGTCTTCCCTTAAAGTGATCTTTGAAAAATGCAGATTAGTTGACGCACTAAGAGTTTTTCTTCTTTGACATTTAATACTCCTGACAGAAAAATGACTTTGTACAAGGTTTATTTTGAAGTCGCTGTGGCGGTATGAGGAGGTGGAGGGGGGCTTTGAGAGCCCTTCGGGCATCCGGGCCAAGCAGCGAGTGAGTCAGGCTGATTTATCCGTCTCGTAGTCAACAGGACGACTCCAGCCAACACAGACGGCGGACGCATTTAGAGACAATGACGACAACAACATGAGTCACACAGCAGGAAAGAGACTGACTTCAAGTGCCGGAGATATTAAACTGCAGCAGGGAGGAATAATAAACTCACCAAAAATAACCACTGAGTCATATACGAAAGGTGAAACAAAGCATTCATCTTTGATCGTGGTTTTATAGGGGATGTTCTGACTATTTATATTTGTTGGTAGAGGAAGTTCTGATATGTGGTTTCAGTACAAAATGACCCTCGGCAGCGTTTTACAGAAATACTGTATGACTCGTTGAATCATCAGTAAAAACATTGAGTAAGTTTTCACGAGTATCCTGGCTTTTAATCCCATTCAGAATACACTGTTTGCAAGACAAACCTGGTCCTTCTAATCCTCATTTACATGCCTGAACCTCATTCTGTAGAGGATGAGTAACCACTGATATTGGGGTCTACAGGGAGTCCGAGACCTTTTGATTGACACTTCAGACCCCCTGAAAGCCTCAATTGCAAAATGTTGGGGTCTTTAAAATCATTAGACAGTTCGTCACTTGCAATTGTGACTCAAATTACTTTTTAAACTAATGCTCAGGAGTTTTAAATATTCAAACTGCAAAACATTGAGTCAGTATGTATGAATAGTGAGTGGGAGAGAAAACTTGTGGTCCAAAATGTGGTCCAGTGCCTTTTGTGAGAACCTGGATTAAAGCAGGACATTAATGATGCCGATTTGTAAAAAGTCTTAATTCATGCTTTGTTAGGTCTGTCGGCCAGACGTCAAGCAAATCATTTTTAAAATGCTTGTTTTTTTTAATGGAGTTTGGATCGATCAATGCTCGGCTTTGCTAACATTGTAGTAGCTCCATCAACGCGCAAAATAACATCATATAGGCGTAAATACGGCAGCCTCGTTTATACACATACATTAATACACATAGTGTCTCTACTAATACGAGGTAGCGTAGAGCTGTTGGCAAACAGCTACAGCTACAATCATTTCTGATTCTCATTCTCAACGTCAGGATGCAGTGATGACAGGAGAATCTCAACGCTGATAGGCTTTCGTGACACAGTTGAACTCAAGCGGATCCGCGAATGAGCAGAATTTTGAATTATTCACGACGCGCCATTCGCCTCAGTTGCAACACCCGGCGCGATTTCTTGTCTATTCGCGTCCATTTGCAGCCATTCGCGTCAATGCATTGACTTTGTCTCAATTGTCTGTGGAGGACTCAATAGGACTCAATAGGCAATATATAAGAGCAAAATACTTGAGTACTGGGCCCCCCGATTTCCACCGGGTGTTTTGCACATTTTAGTTTTTGGCTGCCTGGACTCTGCAGGACTCATCACAGCAATGGATTTAGCTTCTTTAGCTGATCATCAAGTTACAGAAAACCAGAGCAACAAAACAAATGAAAATCTGCAAACCAAAATCAAACTTTCTTTGTATTTGAGCATTTATTGACTAACTACTATGTAACTTAAGTTGATGAAGCACCTGCAAACATGGAAGAGGATGATCATGAACCTGAAGAAGGTGTTTATATGACCCAGTATCCAGATTATCCAGGACTTTTAAGTTTACAGGTTTACAACTCAAGATTTCCTGTTCACGACTGGACGAGGAGCAAAAAGAAGGTCCTCGGTGTTACGTACCTTCCTGGGAAACTTTCTTCCAGGGATGAGGAGGGTACATGAAGGCAGCATTCTGGATCTGATCGTTGATATCTTCATCTTCATTGAAAGGGAACGTCCCACTCAGACTGCAGAACATAAAATACAGAAATCATATTACAGATTTAACCTGTAATTCAGTTTATGGAATGGCCATGATTTAAACTTAGATAAAATAGTTTGCTTTTATGTTTTATGTTGTAGTGTTTGCTGGTCGACTTTTGCTGAGGACCACGAGAAAAGTTAAAACTAAAGGAAGGAGAAAATGAGGAGGATAAAACCAGGTGAGAAAATAAAAAGGAAAAATAACAAGAGAACAACAACAATATCATCCATCAGGTGAGCCTCCTACCTGACGTAGATGATGACCCCCACCGACCACATGTCCAGAGAGCGGTTGTAGCCTTTGTTCCTCAGGACCTCGGGAGCGAGATACGCCGGCGTGCCGACCACTGAACGCCTGAACGACTTCTCGCCGATGATCCGAGCGAAGCCGAAGTCACACAGCTTCACCTGAAACACGACGTGGACGGAGGTCTGTTACACAAAACCTTTAGCATGATGTGACGATTTGTTTTATTGGTGACAAAACTCAAATTCAGTTAGCGCAAAACCCCTCAGCTGTGCGGTGCAGCATCAGATCCCCGGTGCTGGTTGAGTTTAAGTTGCTACAGCTGCGAACTCAAGGTCCGTTCTTCCCCCCGCCAACATAGTCTCAAAAGAGGCGTGGAGTGAGGCGTCTGGACATTGGAGTGCGCTAGCTAGCTAATTCTTAATTCAGTACCTGATCAGTTGGGTGGGCGTTGTTTTCAGCGTAAGTAACAAAACTTGCTGGCTGTAAACGATAAATGTCAGTTGGGTATTGTGAATGACGAAAGGTAGACAGTCGACAGTTCAACGTATCCTCGTTCAACGGTTCGTATGATATCTTATGAAAAAGTTACTCCTCATTTTTTGAGCATTTTCCAACAACAGTCCAGCAAATGTGTCAATTTCCGCTTGTTATGTGAATACCTTCTTCACAGGAAACTACTTAGTTAGGTTCAGGGAAAGGTTGAACAACCAAATACACAAATTCTCGTGTCAATGTCCATGACGATGATGTCGAGGTAAGTCATTATTTCTTCTTCATTATATATTCAGAATATATGAGTCAATAATTGAGTGAGTGATGACATAAAAAGTTTACTGACGTTTGTATCAGTGTTTTGACCATAAAATGACTCTTCAATGATTGATGAAATGATTGTTTTCACAATATTATTTTGACAAAAGCAGCCCAACATAATCAGCAGTAGCCCAGTTGGGTGGAAACCAGTTCAATCTGGCAACACTGTGACTCAGCTAGCTAGCTAGCTCCCACGCTAACAGTTACTCCGTCTGTATTTGTTTGTTTCCTGATGTAATATACGGAGTAGCAGGCTCTGAGACACAGGAAGCAAAGTGTGTGAGCCCAACAGCCTGATGCATCATTACAGCCATCAGCTAACAGTCTGACACTGATTCCTGGAGAGGAGACTGAAGAGTGCAGAAAGCTGCTAATAGTTGCACTGAAAGCTATTGGACTGTCTGAGTCTGGTGTCCTGTTCCACCTCTTTGCTTTATAATGTGTGTATCTACTCTACAGTAGATGGAAGACACAACAGACATAGATCTGTGTGTTTGTGTTTGGTCTTTTCTTGCGTGACCAAACCAGGACGTTCATGCACGCACATGTGTGTGTGTGTGTTTACGCATGATTTACACACCACGGACAAATCAGTGTTGAATTCAGATGCATGGTGGACTGTTTATGTTTGAATATTGGTTTAAGTAATAATGAGTGGGACAGAACATAATACACGCCTATGTAAGCACCAAAAACAAGTACTTTGTGTAAAGGGCTGAGGTCCAGGGTAGTTAGAGGAATCTCCATTCCAGCCAGAGGGCTCCACCCACTCCCTCAGGAGAGCATTGGGATCAGGTGTGGGACGAGACACACCTGGAGCTGATCTCGTCAGGGAGATGAACAAATGTGAAGCTGATCAGGGAGAACATGCGGAGAGCATGCTGCAGGAGGAGCAGGGTCGCGCCTCCCTCAGGTCTCGAGGGATAGAGAGAGTTGAGACCAGTAAGTCGGCTAGCGGCCCGGCTGAAATAGTTTATATTTTCTAGTTTTCTGACAGAGATCTGGACTAAGCTAGGGTTTTCTGTTTTGTGTTACTTGAAGTGAGTTTAATTAAATACCTTGAAAACCTGCAGAACTGACTCTGCCTCTGATTGCTGAGCTGCCACTATTTTCTGTGTCCTCTGTACAATCCTGTTACAATTATTAATTTAAATTTAAACATAAACTGGTTTCTGTACTGCATTCACTTAACATTTATGGAATATAAGTTAATTATGTTAATCTTAATATGTAGTGATTAATATCTGATTCCATAAACATATACAGTAGCCATATTTTACTTTAAATGTCAAGCAAATATAAAGCAAACTTTTCAAATATCCCAGTTCCATTGTCTTCTTCAGGGTTTTGTTACTTGTGAGTTTATATCATTCTTGTTGGTGTTTTTTCAGAGTTTTGAATCTTTTAAATTTGTGTCACAATGTCAGCCGATTCCTCGCTCCACATCTTCCTTGCCTGCTTTTTTCTCTCCTGTCATGTACGACATGTACACGTCGTTCCACATCTCTAATTCTTCGCTCTTGGTTGAATCGTATCCCAGCATGCATCACATCATTTACAAAGATATTCCAGAATTAATTTGTCAACATGGGAAAACGAAACATTTCAGAGAATGTTTTCACTGTTTCGACTTCATTACCGTTAAAATGAAACACACCAAGTCAGACTTTTTTCATACAATAAAAAAAAAATAATAATTCTGTCAAAAATATTACACTGAGAAGTTGTGTATTCTGTGTGATGCTTTAAAGGAAAACAAACAAACACAAAACTTTGCATGATTTTATCAGAACGTGAATATCATCATAATAAATATACAGACACTTACATCGAAAAGACTCAAAAAATTCAGTTAATATAATCCACACACACACACACACACACACACACACACACACACACAGTACCTGTGGAAATGCGTCTGCAGAAGCCAGCAGCACGTTTTCAGGTTTCAGATCACAGTGGACAATGTTCTTGAAGTGGAGGTGACGCAGAGCCACCAGGATCTGATGGTGACAGATAATAATAATAATAATGAGAATAACAATAGTAGTAACAATAATAACAATAGTAGCAGTAGTAATATTAATAATAATTCACGTTTTGTCAAAGCAATCAGAGAAAACATGCTCAAGGTGGCGCTAGAGAAAAAGCCAGGGAGTCCAGATGTGACCAGGTGTTCTCTCTATTACGAGTTTCCTGATTTTAGATGATGAACGCCACGATCACCACCTTCATTTATATCCCACACAAGTTTAAATTCAAGCGTCTTAAATGTCACTTGAAGTGACGAAGAGGAAGTGGAAACCGCATTACCTGCGTGACCATGAACTTGGTGATCCTCTCGGGGAGTCGTCCCTTCTCACTGGACAGGATCATCTCCAGCATGTCTCCGTGGAGCTTCTCCATGACGACAAACACCCTCTCCGGGGTCTCAAACATGCAGTCGAGGTTGACCACGCCCGGGTGGTGCAAACTCTGGAGGGAGGAGGAGGAGGAGGAGGAAGAAATCAATATTTTTATTCTAACTTTTTTGTCATTTTCTGACACAATATATTCACTCAACATTGGAAAACAAAGGAATGTCCTACTGTTTCTGTTTTGTTTGTCTTGTGTTTGTTGTGTTATAAATTGGCTACAACTGAATTTCGTCGTGCGTCACTGAATGATTTATGGAAACATGCTATCAGTCCTGTGCCATAAACACATTTCTTCTGATGACTCCTAATAGTTGCAACAGCTTTAAATCATATATTTGGATATCTGAATAAAATAATAATCAAAATTGAAGTAAATTTTAGAAAGACAGTGTTTTGTGTGTGTGTGTGTGTGTGTGTGTGTGTGTTTGCAGCAGCAGCTTCTGCAGGTTGTGCAGCGCTGGAATATTACAGGATGTCACACCCCTACGGTGTTGCCACGGTAATGAAGTCGTTCACGGCAGGAAGTCTCACTCACAGCCAACAGGCTCCACTGTGAGTGTGTGTGTGTGTGTGAGTGTGTGTGTGTACCTGCAGGATGGCCACCTCGTTGCGCAGCTGACTCTCCTGTTTGGTGGGGAAGCGGAGTTTGTCGATGATCTTGATGGCGACGTCTCGGCCGGACTTTCTGTGTTTACCTGCATGAAAACACACAAAAATCAATTATTATTATTATTATTAAATATCATTATTATTATTTATTCACTAAGTCAAGGTTTGTTTGGACGGTTTGTTTTGAGTCGAACCGCTGCGTCTCGAGAAGCAAGCATTGATTTATTTTATTTTTATGTATTTGCAATTTTGCAATTTATTTTGTAAGAAAAAAGAAATTCAAGAGTTTAAATTAAAATATTAGAATTTAAATTTAAAATGAAAAAAATATCAAAATAAACTATATTCTCCAAATATTAAGATTTTTACTGTCAAAATATCCTAACATGTTAAACTTGATGACTTTTTCTCAAAATACTTCCACTTTATTGTTTAGATCTTTTATCTTACTGCAGGTTTAGATGTTATTTTGCACGTTTTACCTCCATAGACGATGCCAAACTGTCCTGAACCAAGAACCTCGTCTGGAAAGATCTGATACACCGAGTTGATGTCCTGGAAAACAGAAGAACAAGTCTGAGCAAAAGTTCACATCAATCATTCCAAATGAAGCTCGAGCGTAAATTCAGTGTTTAGTTACATTACATACATTTAGAAGACACTACAGGTGAATAGGGTCAAAAAATTAACTAATAGATATCGCCATGAAACTTCACCACTTCATTACTCACATTAAGAGGATTATTTATTGTATTGCAAGTTTTCTGTAATGTTATGTTTAAATATAGAAATTAGGCATTATGTAGTGGGAACTTTTGGTGAATTTAGTAGAAATCTACAGACGTAAACAGACAAAGTAGCAAAATAAATGTTTTCTTTCAACGAGTCTGAAAGAAGACGAGTTATGGAAGAAAAATAGGACAAAATCTCAAATTTGATTAGTGCATGACAAACTATATCGTTGCCTGTAAAGTAACAAAAGTAAAGTTATCAAGCAGAACAATAATATGTCTGATTATAATCTGATGGATTAATGGACGATAACTTTGATATTGTAGCTGGTGCGTATTAACTGCTTTGTATGTTTTGTATCACATTTTATTTGATATTTTTCTTTCATAATCTGTAAATTACAGCACAATGTTTTCATGTAAGATCTAATAAAGCAGAAGAAATACAAACCCTCAAACAGTACTTGAGTAAATGTACTTAGTTACTTTCCACCAGTGGAGCCGAGCTTTTTAAAAGTTGTAAAAGCTGTGAAGTTTCCTGTGAGAGCTGCTCCAGCTGGAGTGGAGGAGGGCGAGGCCGTGTGACAGAAAGTGGGTGGAGTTGTTCAGAGAAGCCCACTGAGAGTAACTAGGTGGAGTTGTTCAGAGAAGCCCACTGAGTGTAACTACAGGTGGAGTTGTTCAGAGAAGCCCACTGAGAGTAACTACAGGTGGAGTTGTTCAGAGAAGCCCACTGAGAGTAACTACAGGTGGAGTTGTTCAGAGAAGCCCACTGAGTGTAACTACCCGGCGTCACTGATCTGCCACAGCTTTGACACCAAAACTGCAAAATATTTTCTCCTTGTCTGCAATCACGTCTCTCTTTTCTCCCCCGTCAGCTGACAGCTTAATATCACACCTCGAGCAAAGAGGACAGAAATACAATATTATAACCCCCCCCTCTTTCCCCGAAGCCTCGCTGCCTAATTACCATCCTGTGTCACCATGGAAACCATTTGGCTGAGTGAGTAATCACAGTAATCTCCATTTGAAGGTGCTCGAAGACGCGCTCACCTTGAAGACGGATGGGGAAAAAAAGGTGAGGCGCTATTTTCTGCATGGAAATTGGGACTCCGTGTTCTCTGCGGTTACATCTGCATGAATAGAGTTTGCAGACATTTTTCAGCCTCGTGTGGAAAAAAAAATCTTTATGATGTTAATGCGCAGGAGCGTTTGATGCTCAACTCGGTGACACGTCCTCCGAGTCTTCAAATGCAAATGCATGAAGAGGGATCAGAGGATGTAAACAGGATGTAGTTTGTAGTTGGAGGAAGACGGAGACCTTCATCTTGCATCTGAAGCTCATGACAGAAAGTTAATGAACCAAAAACCTGAAGCTAACCAGGAAACAAAATGTGTTGTTTTTGTCACTCCTCTGTTCACTAAAGCCTGACTGATACATCGGCCGACATCATTGTGTGACTTTGCTGTTTTAAAGGTTTAGCTCTGATTCACTAGAGTCACACAACAACTGACGTAAAATGACTGTTTTTATCAAAGGAGTCTGGTGGCTTTGAAGATGGCATCTTTCATCGGTCACTTTGAACTGCACTAACCTCTGTGAAAGGTGCTCTACAAATAAAGATTGACTGATTGATTGATTGATTGAATGATGATGCCCATGATGTATACCTGCGTATAAACACAACTACATCTTTGTGTGTGTGTGTGTGTGTGTGTGTGTGTGTGTGTGTGTGTGTGTGTTCTCACCACATTCTCCTGGATCTGGCAGTTGGAGACAGAAATACTGATGGAAATTTCCTCTGTTGATGAGACACAAACATGATCAGACTTAAAACTGAAGAGAAACAATCAGCATCTTTAAGGGAAATAATAAAAACACGAATAATCGTTGATGTTAATAACTCTAAAAGACACACATGTTATTTAAGACCTTCTGTTATTAAGCTGTGCACTTTCTCAAAGAAGTATATCTACTGAATAATAGATGTTCTAAATATGAAGCCTGTAGCCTTCCGGCGGTTGAGACACGGTATTATTTCAGTGTATTTTCCCCACAGGTGAACACACAGAGTCGGAGAAGGCACTGAGACCAACAGTGTAGTGTTAGTCATGATCAGTTTGACGTCAACAGAGGTCTGAAATATCTCTGATGGGTTTTTGTGTGGGTGTCGAGGCCCTGAGGGGATCTTAGAGTCTGCGGGAGAATTCACCATGAACATTAATACCTGAGCTGCAAATGTGTCCTTCCACAGGCGGGATACTAATGTTATAATAACATTCACATTTTGTCCAATTTTATATAGATTCTCTGAATGTCAGAACATCCTGTGTTCTTATTAAAGTGAGTAAGAAGACAAAGTGGTGACTCTAACCTCTTAACATGCAGCATTCCTGTAATCAGATTAAATGCTGGAACAATCAGGTTATTCCACAATGTCAGTAATGTCAGTATCATGATGCACATCCATTGAATAAAATACATATTTAAGATGTACCCTTCAACACACATTTCCCCAAAATTCAATCTGACATATTGTTGCACATTAAAAATAAATTAGATTTAGTTATGAAACTTCCTGGCCAGCTTTTAGGACACAATTAAGGATTTATCCAATTTCATCTTGAACCTTAGCAAGAGGCTTCGCTGGTTGTACATATCTACTTATTCTAGATTTGTATTTTCTGTTGTTTTTGTTTGTGTTCTGATTTTGTTTTTTGTTTGTCATTTGCTTATTCTGGTTTTGATGAGTAATATTGTCATTGTTTTATTTGTTTTAATAGGAAAGGACTCTGAATAAGCCTCTCAGGCTTCTTTCATGTCCTGCACTGTAAAAAAAACGTATACTTTTTATTCAATTGTATGTATTTTGTACATCTTAAACGCTTTTGTTTTGTTACGTCTTACTCATAAATATAGCATTGAATTCATAGTCAATTTATTGATTGTGATTATTGGTAAATTTTACATACATGAATGCAAAAATAACAAAAGTTATAATTTCACTGGAATATATTAAGAGTCTCAAACTTATAAACACATAAATGTAGTTTGTATTAGATGAATAACATATTTTTATTATTATTCATCCAAATAATATAAAATTAATTAATTCAATGTTTTGATTTCTATGAGTTCATTTGTATAATATTATGTTGAGTACATGTCTGCAATCTTTTTATTTTTGAATTCTTTTAAAAAAGACAAGCATGTACTGGTTATATAGTTTCAGTTTTTGAAACTCACACTAACATTAAAAATCATACGGATTATAGTCTCTCATTGTTTAAGTGTTATTATTATTCTCTTTCTGTATTTCTTATTTTATCTATTTGTTAAATCATTTGTTAAATTTGTTATGGAGATAGGCATGGAGATAGAATTTCACTATACGTTGTGCTGGGATAATAAAACTTGATTTGATTTGAAAATTTAGGATCTTCAGAACAATGTTAAATAAAGTTCTGTGACTATGAACAAAGTTTGGCTGCACAAGTTTTTACTGACTGAGGCTGAAAGTTGGTTGTCAAACAGAAATAGGATATTGTTATCGTTAATGTTCTATAGTATAAAAAGACACAGGAGCATGTCCAAACAGCAGGTACAGTTTTTAAGGCAGTAAATGGGTCTGAAGTCTTTATAACCATTAGCTATATAGAGCTGGGTGTCGTCTGCATAGCGATCATCATTAACATCATCCTCACCAATGATGAACCATACAAAGACGTACAAAAGTAGTGGATCCAGAATTGAGCCTTGTGGCACTCCATAGACATGCTCATTCTTATTTTAACTGAAATGACAAGTTTTGAATTGAGACAATAAAGTTGTGTGACACATGGACCAAAACTAGTTGAAAGTTCAGCCTCAGACCTGACTCATTTCTGACATCGAAATGACGTGGGATCCACAAAGTAGGTCAAAGCAATTTGCTATTGACCAATACCACATATTAAAGTTTTAAATAACCAAGTTTAAAGACAAATCCTTCTACTAATACCAACATGGGTACAGGTTTTAAACTGTCTTACTGTGTCCACTGCGGTGAGAGCTGTGGGAAATTCCTGTAGAGACGGCCGGCATCAGAGCGTGCTGGATGGCCGTCTCCCACATACGAGCCACATCCTGTCCAACTCCGCTGACCTGAAAGCAGCCAATAGAAAACCGTCAGTATAAAGTATTAGTCATGTAAAGTAAGTACATTTACTCAAGTACTGTGCATAGGTACAATTTTGAGATATTTGTACTATACTAATTTTCATTTTATTCTAGCCTACTTTACGCAACATCTCAGAGGTAAATGTCATGCATTTTATTCTACTATATTCTGGCAGCTGTAGTTACTAGTTACCTTTCAGATTAAGATTTTACATAAAAATATATATGTATATATATTTAGCCAAGAGAATACAATTTGTTAAATTGGTCAGTGTAGTTCAGACCGTTGTAATATCTCAGATATCTATGGGTTATTGATGAGACTTTTACTCTCCAAATTTACCAGATGGTTTGATTTAAATAAAAAAAAGATCAATTTATCCAATAAATCACTAAAAATAGAAAATAAAATAATTAAGAATTCAGAACTTGAGAACTTTTTTCTTTCTTTCCTTTACCAATAATAATCTCACGAGCCATCAGATTTATTCTGGGACCCTTTGGAGGGGCATGACCCCTAGGTTGGGAACCACTGGAGTAAACTACACAAATTTTTCATTTTTGAGGTTTTAAGTACATATTGATTATAGTACCTCTGTACTTTTACTGACTTTTACTCATAATGGAATACTTATGTATGCTTTTGGTACTTTTACTTGAGTAAAAGATCTAAATAGATCTAAACCACTGGACACATCAAAGCTTTACTCCATAAAAATAAGCCGAGCGCCATATATTCACCAGAATGCTACTGCTGCTCACAGAGGACTCAGCTCTCTGCAGGTGTTCTCCGATGTAGTAAACCAGCGACGCGGTGGTGATCTCAAAGCAGTGAGGATTGGCTCCATCGGGAAGCACAGACAAAGTCTGAGCCGGTTCCAGACATAAGATCTCCGACAGAGGGATTTCCTGCAGAGAGAAGAGGGACAGAGCATGAAGAAACAAGGTTGATCATTGCACTCTTTACTTAAACTTGTTACCGGTGCATTTGTGTATCACTACAGTGCATGTGTAGCTTCAAAAGTATTATGATTTTCCCCCGAAATACATCCCTGCAAACACAAAAGCATCACTGTAAAGTGTGTGATGCTTTTAATAAAAGGACATGATCCCTCACTAGCTTCCCACCCGCCAGCACTGACAAATATCAGTTCTGCTCTTTAATGGATCCTCATCCTCACAAACTCATCTTGTGTAAAAGTGAAGCAAAGTGTTTTGAAAATACCAACAAGAAAGCTTAAATCTAACTTCAACCATAATCAGAATCAGCTTTATTGACCAAGTGTGTGAACACATGTAAGGAATTTGACTCAAGGACATTTTGTCAGCGGCAGTGTGTCATATTTTTTTGGTGAAGCCAAAATCAGGACGTGAAAATATTTCCCTCATTTCCCGGGTGAACCAGTTTGAGGACAGACTCAACGGAGATGTGAGAGGATTTGTGCATCGATTGAACTAAAAGGATGCTGGGAGTTTAGTTATAGACATCTGCTCAACAAGCAGTTTAAACAGAAAGCATAAAGATACTCATGCCTTAAGAGAAAGACAAACAGAAAAAGGAGGACAATTTAAAATACGATTAAAACTCCAAAAACACCAGAATTGTCCTTTAACATACTTTCATGTAAATCAGTGGTGAGGGAGGGGGTGACGGAGCTCTTCTTACCTTGTAGTATTTACTTCCTGTGTCGTTCTGAAACAGCGTGATGCATTTACTCTCCAGCCGCCAGTAATGTCTCTTCCTCTGAAACATAGAGGAAGAGGAGGAAGAAATGAGAAGTCAGATGAGACAGCAGGCGAGGAGAGAGACAGAGAGGGTGAGAGGAAAAAGGGAGAAAAGGATGTCCAGAGGAAAGTGAACAGAGAGAAGGGGAAGAGAAACGCTGACGTCATTTAACAGAATCTCAAAAAACTTGTTTCAACTTTCACACAGAGCTGAAAGATGCAGAGCAGCAACACTTCATCTGACTGAAAACAATATCTATTTTATTACACTTTTGTTTAAAAAAAACTCCCATGAACATGTGTCTCAGTTTTGGAGAGACATCTGGGAAGAAGTCTGCAAAAATCTAAATAATACTTTACTGTTTAATATTCTTATCATATTTCTGTCTAGTGTTGTTTCTAATTAATTTATCCATTTTCATTTCACATATTATCAGCATGTTTATGTTTATTTATAACAAAAGATCTCGTCCTGTTTGACGTGACAACAAAAACCAATAAGATAAATACATAAAATCAGTGGAGGGCAGATTGTGAACACAATTATGTTTACAGACAATGTAATCACCTATATTTATGCTCAATATTTAAACTGAATAATACGTATGATCTTTAAAGTATTTAATCAAATCGTCAACAGCCAATCAAACAGTGTGAGCAGCAGCAGTTCAGTTCTAGTAGTGAAATATCTGCAGTGATGTCAGTGAACACAGATGAACTCAGTCCGGGACACTCTGTCCTGGCCCCTCATGGATGAACAGTTTGGGGCCTCCACGACTCGTCACACTGAACACTGAGGACTCCCTCCCTGAAAGTTTCATTTCATTCTTATAAAAGATCTTTTTCTTGTCCCAAATACTTGTAAAAAATATAAATAAATAAAATTAGAAAAATGTATCCTAATACAACGGTTTGTATGATATCTTATGAAAAGTTAGTTGTCATTTTTCATGTGTTTTTCCAGAAACACGTGTCGATTTCAATTCGTTACATGAATACATTCTTTAAAAAAAAACTTCCTTCTCCACAGGAAACAACTTAGTTATGTGTTGTCATCAAAACTACTTATATAAGTTTAGGAAAAGATTGAGGTTTGGGTTAAAATAACCACAGAAGTGTTGTTACTGAAGTACGTAAATTCTGTAACAAATAAAATAAATGTTCACTTCAGACCAGCCGGTCTCACTCACTTTGAAAACTTTTTAAAAACTAAATTGTTTGTCAAATTTCTACCACAATCTGCTCATAAATACTTTCCATACAACAACTTTGCCAGTTAATTATTGTTGTTATTTTGCATTTTCTTGCTGTTTATTCATGGTTCACTCTTCGTAAACAGGCAGACAATAATAACTGTTATTTAAATTGTTTTTAGTTAAAGACATCTAGTTTTAAAAAATGTTCTTGAATTAATAATTCAAGTCATGGATACACTAAATTATTAAAAGGTAGTGAAGACAGATAAACAAACAAAGTAACAAGCAGACAGGTAGACGTATAAACAGGTAGATGTACCAGAGTGTCCTTGCTGGTATAGTGGACCATCCAGCCCTCCTTCATCACGTTGCTCGTCTTCCTCTTTGTGTGTTTGACGGACTGAACGACTCGCATGAGAGGGATGTTGTTACTGGTGGACGGGCTGCAGGGGGCGGGACAAAAGTCAATCTCACACATCAGTGTGTGTGTTTCTGTGTGTGTGTATGTGTGTGTGTTTCTGTACCTGATGGCCCGGTTGCACTCGTCCAGGTCGGGGTCGTGCAGGTCGCAGAGGTCGCTCGGCCCCGCCTCCAGCATGAGACCCCCCTCTGATGTTAGCACTTCGTCCATGTCGTCGCCACCTTGATCAATATCGTGGTCGTCAAGGCAACCCTCCACCATGATGTCTGACTCCGCCCCCGGGCTCAGGAGCTCTACGAAACAAACACACACACACCTGGATGTGTAGTTTCATGTTTCTACCGTTGTGAGGACCAGATGTTGTAGACCATCAAAGTGAGGACATGAAGACTTGGTCGTAGCATTAAGGTTTGTTTATGTAGTTACACTGTAGTTCTTCGTATATAAAGTATCGCTACCATCAGGTGTGTGTGTGAGTGTCTGTTGAAACTTGCCTCCATTTTTGGAAACTTCTCCCAGGCAGTTGTTTGGCACTTTGGGAGCACATCGTTTATGACAGTTAAATTTACAATCTGAGGGAGAAACAAGGAAGGAGAGCAGACATTAGGTCCCAGAAGGTTACAGTCCGACATTTGTTGGACAAAATGCCATTTATTCAGAAAGCAGGAAATAATGCAATGTTTTTAAACCAACAGGAAAGATTTGTAGTGGAAGGACAAACATGCAATTTAAATATTATTTTTAATTTAAATGTATTTTGAAAGGACATTAAGCATGTTTTGACACACCGTTCTGACACGTTGAAAACTAACACTTGGTGCGCCGATCTCTGATGCCAAGGAGCACTAAGTATTTGATGAGTTGTCTTAACAACTAGCAGTCAGATATCCATGATATCCCCTGTTCACATTCCTGCTGTCCAGAGGAAAAACCCTCCAGAAAAACTGGAGTGATGTAGAGATGCCATATACGTCTCTGGTAGAGACCTGTCAATCACTGTGTAGCCCTGCCCTAAAGCATACCCTGCTTTATGGTCTATTTGACTCTAAATGAACCATAATTTACTAAATGAATACAACCAGAGGAGTCGTCCCCTGATGGACAGTAGAGAGAATGCAGGTTCAAGACATGAAGCTTTGACTTCACTTTAAAGAACCGGATGTTGCCGCCTGGACGAAGATAAATTACCAGATGGTGTTTCTTTTGTCAAAATACTTTTATATTGCAACTGTTACGCTCACTGCAGCGTTTACCTGACCAGGGATTATTTAAACAAATGTATAAAAGTTTTAAAGATGCTCACCTTTACACTGCAGGCCCTGTCTGAAGAGGCCTTTCAGCAGCTTCTTGCAGTGCTGGCAGACGGTGGGTCGGGTATACGAGTGGATCAGGAAGGTGTGAGGAACTTTGACCTTTGACAGAAAGATCTTGTCGAGTTCGATGGGACGGCCGATGTACGACTGAGAGCTGGAGCGCCGCTCTCGACCGGGGAAGTAATCTAATTGGTTCTTCTGCTGGAGACAAAGATCAGGAGACCAGTGTGGAGGAGCGGTCATGACTTTGTGAGACATGTTCAACCAAAAAAAATACATTTAGAGGAGTAGATTTATTCACAGGCAACTTGGTTTTTTGCTTAGATGCTGAGAAAATGTTCCAGACGAAAAAAAGATGTTCTTGATTTGACACGATTTATAACAAACTCTTCTTAGCGTTTAAACCCACAGGTGTCCTCCAACCAAAAGTTTAAATCAAAAATCTGCGTTATTTCAGGACTTTGAAGCATGTTTATGCTAAAAACAGTGATAGTCAAAAAAAGAGATGGGCGATGCAGTTAGTTTGAACATTATTGGAGGGAATAAATATCAGATTTAAAATCCTGTGTACTCTTGTTAAATAGTTAGAAGCAAAAATGCCACACATTTTAATGCAAGTACCATTCCTCAGGGATTATTATTCTGGATAAAAGTGATGAAACTTACCTCCATGCTGGGACTGACCGGAGACTGGACAATCAAAGAGAACAAAAGAAAGATATTTAGAGTGGGGTTTTAATGTTCTAATGAAAAATTGACAAACACACAGTCAGCTGATTTCAGCATCTCAAAGGTATAATTGTTGTTCTTTAACAAACAATTATAAGATTGCCTTTTTTAGTTATTTGTTTGACCCATCTGACTGCAAGTCAAACATCATTGAGCCACATCTGGCAGTGATATGAGGAGCAGAACTGACTCCTGATTGGTCCTCTGCCAGAACACAACCAAGTCTAGCTGTAGTAAGAACGTCTGTATACATCTGTATGATTCATATCCCTTTCAAAATACCAAAAACACAAAAGTTGGCTAGTTAGCCCTCATTTTTAAAGTGAAACACAAAGTGTGAAAATACAAAGACGAAATCTCACGAAATCTCACTTTTTGTTCCTCTATAGTAAGCATCCAAACATATGTAGTTCAGAACAAAGCAAGTCTGATTGAGCATGAACATATTTACTGGACAGATCGATCTATAATATGAGGGCTCAACCCTGAAATACAAGAGCGATGCTGTTTTCTATACTCTGCACGGTAGTTGGACTTTAGCCTGGGATCTGTTAGCTTTAGCCTCCAGTACATATTTAAGAACTTGTTAGCTTGGACTAGAGACTCAGACTGCTGGCTACTTGTATCAGGTGTTGGTTCTTGGACTTCTAAATGAGACGAGTCTTTCAAAACTAAAGAAATAAATCACAGACATGTTCAGAATGTACTGTATATAATCCACTGACCAGTAAAGCATCGTCGGTGTAGAAGGGGGGTGAGGGCTCAGCTGAGAGGGGGCGACCCAGGTTTACCAGCCCCCCCGTTAGGGAGACGTTGGACGAGCGACGCCGCCTCACTCCGCTGCAGTTGTTGGGGATCTTAAAGGCACAACGCTTGTGATAGTTCAGACCACAGCCTGATCAGAAACAGACAACAGCAGATTCATTTGTCGATACATAAATTAACAAAAATGTGAGAACAGATTTTTTTATCTTTTTTAGAGCCTCATGAGCTTCATCAGTAGGTTTTGTACCTTCACATTTGAGTCCCTGACGAACAAGTCCCCACAGCATCTCTCCACAGTGGTCGCAGAAGGCCGGAGCACGGTACGAGTGGACGAACAGACAGTGTGGACGGATCTGGAAGTCCTCCACTGTAGCTGAAGCTGCAAAAAAAGATGTTTGGATACAAATAATTTCAACAACCAGTGAGCCGGTTCTTTGTGTCAGGAAAGAAGACCGATTGAACCAAGCAATCATTTCTCTAATCAGTTAGGTTAAATATTTAAAACAGATTGAAAGTCTTGAAAAGTTGAATGTTCTGAGCTTTGGAAATGGATTTGTACAATAAAGTTGAGGTATTTAAAGGAGTTGTACTCATGAGAAGAAGTTGAAGTGGCAGTTAAAAGTGGAAGTGCTGAATTAATTTAGAGTTTTATTTGAGATGTTAGCACCGAAAGGAGTTGAAGTGTCACTTGAAAAAGCATTAATGGAGTTGAAGTATGAACTGAAAAGAAAGTTTCAACTGTCAGTTGAATTATAAACATGACGCGTAGGCACTGAAATGATTTGAAATGTCAGATGATGTGTAACAGGTGAAAGGAGTTGAAGTGGGAATTAAGGTAAAGTTATGACAGGATAGGACGTGTCAGTGTGAACACTGAAAGGATTCAAAACATCAGTTCAAATGTACAAACTGACAGATGATGTCCGGCCTGTGTAAGCAGTGAAAGGAGTTGAAGGGTCAGCTGAAGTAAAATGTATAAATGCACAAATTTGTTTGCAGTATATAGTTACACATTGTTATGTACTCAGGTCTTATAAATCTCAGTCGTAATGGCACTTATATGAGCTGAGGTTATATACGTGTTATTCCACTAGTCAATTAATTAATCAATCAATAGTTTATCAGAAACATTGCGGACGGAGAACCACTTTCACACATTTTTTCAGTTTTGAGATTAATTTGCGGACACATGCTGAAATCAATATTCCATAAAAATGTATTTTTGACCAACATTAAAAACAAAGCGGCAGCAGAACAACGGTGCAGTAATGTTCACTTCCAAGTAGAATGAATAATATAATGTATTATTCTAAAGGGAGTTCTTTTCCACATTTTCTAAATTATTTTCTTTTAAATCGGCTGGAAGTCGAGCAGCTGCTGATCTGGTCCGACTGGGCCGGCGGCCATAACAGCCATCTGAGCCCAAACATCCTCCAGCTGTTTTCACAAAAACTCAGTGGGGGGGCACTCCGGCAGCAACCAGAACTCCCGCTGACGAACCCACAACACCAGAGAGGGAATCGACCGGCCGGCCTGAGCGGTTACACAGTAAACGCCGATATCTCAATTTTACTGAAAAAGGTTTACAAGTTTTCACCAAGTTAAACAAGAAATATAGACGAACCAATGACAAATAATGGAGTCACATTTAGGTTTTAATGAAGGACAAAACATCTGGTTTAAAGAATACACTGGTTTAATGAGCTTTACAGCAGTTTGTGATAAATACTTTCCTGATTCATGAACATCTGCTCTTTCTTTTCTGAGTAGTTTCAAATTGCGACTTGGTGACAGATGACAGTTTATCATAATTTAAGTTTGTGATGGGTTTTACATGAAAAATGTAGCATTTTGTTATTATTTTTGTGAAACAGGGCTCGTTACCTGGGCATTGTTTGAATTTTCATTTATTAGTGCCCCTGAGATACTTTAGTTTCTGCACTGTTATCTAAATTATTCAGTTTTTTTAACTTTCTGTTGTTTTTTTTTTCAAAAATCTGCCCATAAATTTGGATAGAAAATCCAAATTTGCCAAATATTAAATGTTATTTGAAGGCCCATTGTGCACCTGTATAGGTATCTTCACTTATTGTCCCTGATTAGACCTCTTCTGTGTGGGGCGGGGTGATCATTAACATTTCCCATCGCACTCTTGTAAGCTTTGCAGCACCTGTTAGGGTAGAAACACTTTCTGGGCAGAGGTCTAATCAGTGAGGATAAGTGAGAACACGGCCTTGGAACACAAGCAGAAGCACAAGAACTAATGCTGCGTTCAAGTCAAGTTCAGATGTGGGAGTTTGTTTGCTAAAATCAAGGCAACATGCACGTAAGAAAGGAGACGCCCTTGACTCGGAGCGTCATTTAAAAGCGCTTCAATTAAATATGAGGTGTGTCACAGCTGATCAGCTGTCCGTTGTTTAATTAAAGTGCTGTGTTTTATCATCTTTGTCAGATGACTTTATATATTTTATCGTGTGAAGCACTGCACGTTTGTATGAAAAGTACTACACAAATAGAGAGTGACAGATATTATTTATGACTGATTATTAACATTACATTTTAGTCTTGTTTCCTGTGAAACCAGAAACAAGAAACCAGCTTGACTTTTGGAGGTGAAAGCAGAAAAAACGAGGAGTAACTTTTTCGTAAGATGTCATTGCAAACCGTTAGATGAGGATATGTTGAACAGTGAGGCTCATTGGTGTGTTTCAATGGAGATATCAGGCTGTGAAACACACACTATATTTGGTTGGTGGCTGGTTTGAGTCTGAAAAATGTTGAAAATATGTCACCAGAGTTTCTTTAACTAGCCGGAGACGGAGAGAGAGAGAGAGCGAGATGAGGGGAGGGAGATAAACAGAACGGAGACAAAGAGTAATGAATGGGTTGTTAGTGGGTATTTTGTAAATGTTTTGGAGGTATGAGAGGCTCTCAGCGGGCGCAGATGGACCCACTGTTTGTTTGGTTGGCCAGCGGGTTTGGCAAGGCATGATGGGTAGTTTGGGATATCGTTTTTCTGTCTCTCTCCCTCTCTGTATGTATTTCTGAAATCCCTCTCGCCTTTCACACACACACACACACACACACACAGACACACACACACGCACACACTCGCCCTGTGCTGTGGTCCTCCAGTAGAATACAGCTCTGATTAGACATTCTGCTGCAGGAAATTACCTCCATTTATTCAAATTATTGTTTACGCCTTTTGTTTGGAGGGCCAACATACATTTGGAAGTCTGAACAAGCTCCCAAACTGTTATTATATGCTTCAGAAAATGACTTGTGTGTGTGTGTGTGTGTGTGTGTGTGTGTGTGTTTTCTCTGATGGAATTAAATGCGTTAAGGAGCGTGGTGGCTTGTTAACCCACAACCACAAAACAAACACTGCGGGTGGAGAAACTAAACCAGCAGCGATGATAATAATGATAACAACATTTATGTTTTAGCTGTTCAGCTCAATAACTCTGTGAAACAGTAGAGTAAACTTTAATTATGAGGCATCAGTTTTTATAAATCTCAGTCAGAACTAAAACAAAAGCAAAGTGAACGTCCTTTATTAACATTTTATCATCTATTAATGCTCACAAATCCTAGAATATTTTAATTTATTTTTATGAACGAACAGATCTTCATATCTAAAAACAGAACAGATTGTTAGCTAAGGACTCCCAAAACGACATACTATAGTACATGTATGTATGATACGACCACGACCTCTTCACAGCACAAATGTGTAGTTTTAACAAATTTTAACACATTACATAATTTAAGTTTCGGCAACAAAACTACTTCATTAGATTTAGGGAAGAAAAAGGTTTGGGTTAAAATAAGTTAATGCAACTTATTACTTATGTGGCCTATTTAATGTAAAATGAATCAATGTTAACTTCTAGTGTCACATGGGATCAACGTACCCTCATTCAAAACTTTTTTTTATTATTTTTTAATTTGCCTAAAATTTAATTTTAGTGTTTGTCTTCATAACAAACTTTAATTAAATCAATAAATGAAAGGGAAGGTACAGTGAAGCGGTGGAATCCCATCATCCTCTGGGTTCTTTGTGGATTGTAAACAACTTTAATGTTAGCTGATTAAAAGAAAACTGGAGGAAACACAGTTTATTAACTAGCTCTCTGGTTAAAATCACAGCCAATAAAAACCTGTCTGGATAAGTGTTTGGGGAATTATCAGGATGTTTTTTTTGTGACCAATCAGTTCTTTTGGCTGGAGCTCCTTGTTACACCGTACAAAGTCAATTTCCTGTTTGTTTCCTCCACACTTCGAGCTGTCACCGGGACTGACAGAGAGCTGTTAACAAAAGTGTTTTTTACTGATTGTCAGAGGAGGAAGAGGAGGAGGAGGTAAGGTAGAGGAGGTGGAGGGGGGTGAGGAAAAGGAAGAGGGAAATAATCCGGAGGTATTCAGTACTCCTTTCTGCAACTTGAAGGTCGACTAATCAGCCGTTAGCAGTAAGCAGGGATTTGGGTTATCACCGTAAGCTAATGAGGGTTATTTTGGATTTGTGGGGTTGTATACTTGCGTGTTCTGTGAGGTAACATTTCTATTTTTGTCAATGGAGTCTTGTGGCTTTGAAGAGAGAGCTATAGGCAGCTGTGGATGGAAGCAGCAGAATAATATTTTAGAAACTTTAAAAAGAAGTCTGTATTAGTGTGTTAGTGTACGATATATTTAGAATATTTTCACCCACTTTATTATCCTGTCAAACAGCCCTTTCTGACGGAAAGTAATAAAACGTTATATCGCTCTAATCAAAGTCATAAGACTCCATTGATGAAAACCCTACTTTGCAATGTTGTATATATTACAAATGTTGTATATTTATATATAATATTTAGGAACGTCATCATGCATAAAGCTATAAAGTCAAGTGAGAAAATGTTTTTTAGAAGGGAAAATAACGTTTTGACTGAAACATACGTATTTGGACCAACATTTTAATGTTTAGATTTTAAAACATCACCACTGCAAAGCTGTGCCATACAAATCTAAATAATAATAATAATAATAATAATAATAATGGAGCCACCCTTTAAATATTTGTATTAACTAATAATTAATTAATAATTTCTTCCAGTTTTTTAACTGCAGCCATTACTTCCTTAAAAGCGTCTATCAGAAGAAGATCTTCATTTTTTCTTGAGGAAGCCAGCACTGGAACATTATCCTCAGAATATTTAACAGATACAATTAATTAAACTTTTTATAATATGAACAATGGGAACAAATTTAAACAAAACCAAAGTTGTAATAAACCTAAATAGAGAAACCGACACTTGAAATACAAAAATGCAAACACATTCATTAAAATTAACAGCAAATGCAAATGTACACACACACTGTACTAGGTGTTGACAGAGAAGCAGGAAATTGGGAAGCAGCAGCTGTCGGGCCGTTAGCGTAATGTAGCTTGAACACCTGAGTCCTGAGCTCGACGGCCGCCAGACAGACGAGTCTGGCAGACGGCAACAAACACGAGATCGAAAATCACTTTTATTCACATGTGGATTCTTTTAGTTGTTTATCTTTCTGCCAAAAAAGTTTACCAAAATAGTTTTTACATGTCGACTAAACCAGTTAACGAGAGTCGATACCTGCAAGAGGTTTTCTTTGGTTTGGAACTACTTTTACCCAGAATCCTGTCTTGGGTCGTTATTTTCACACATTGCACTTATTCTTAATATCACATTCTTGAATCAGTATTTCCCTTATGCGGTATTTGTCCTTTTTCAAAAAAATACCAGAGCAAATTTCTGTTTGTGAAAATGTGTTTAGTTTAAACGTGGTAGTTGTACTTTGAGTATTTTCCCTTTTCTGCTACTTCTTCTCCACTACATCTCAGAGGCAAATATTGCACTTTTTACTCCGCTAAATTAATCTGAAAACTTTAGAGAACAGATTGAGATTAATGATACAAAATATTGCAAACAAATAAAATGTATTAGTATAAATTAACGCTAGGATTGGTAATGTTTTAAAACACATTTTTTTATGTTTGTTGTTGACAAAAAGAAGAAAAAGTCCCCCTGATTTTATTATCACGATCTTATTGCAATTTTAAACATTTTGTAATATGCTAATTACAACAATATAAACTTTTGTCCAATAATGACCTGACATTGTAGCCCCTCCCATCTGTGATGTCACCATCCAGCCTCTCCTACCTGACAGCACGGCCTCCACCAGGTCGCCCTCCTGGATCTGGGAGGCCGAGCGCAGCAACTGCAGCACATTGTCTGACGTCTGGTCATGACGAAACAGCAGGATCTTCTCATACATCCCGTAGAAAACACACTCTGGAATCTGACGGAGAGACAGAGGAAAAAGATTTTCTAGCAGCAGCCAGAGAAAAATATCGTGTCAGTTCTTCGAACATCTACAGGTAGAGACAAAGCTTCCTGCTGCAGCCTCAAAGACAAATTTTTTATTTAGGGGTAATAATGTCACACTTTTATTGTTCTTATGACAAGTGATTTCTGTTCCTTTTTGTTAAATGTGAAAAATGTTAATGACAATAAAGCAAATCTAAATTAAAGAGAGACAAAGACAAGGAAAAAAAACAATGAGCTTTGATGTCCATCAGCAGATGAATAAATCATTCAAATTATCATCAGGACAGAATAAATGAATACACTAATGTAGTAAATTTAACAGAGTGAACTCTGTCAAACCGATCCACCGCGTTCATGTCATCAACTTCAGGTAATTAAATGAAAACTCATGACAGTGATGATCCAATCAAATTAATTAAATGATAGCCTGACAGTTTTATTCTGTGATTTGGAAATTAATTATATTAACAGGATTTAATACAACTTAGAAATTGATATATATAATTTTATACTGCAAGTGGAGTTTTGATGCTTTTTTCTGCCATAAAAATTGTCAAAATTTGTATCATGTGTTAAAGCTGACAGCCACTGATCTCCATGACAGATGAAACACAAGGTGAAACTCACATCTAAGGTCATAATCTAAACTTCAACTGTTCAAATTGGTCCTCACAAAGACACAAGTATAAGAGTACACACACATATACTTTCCTACTTTACCATCAGTGGACCCCACAAAATACTCCAACCAAGTGGGGACTTTTGTTTCTGCCCATTTAGAAAAAAACTAAAATAGATTGAAAATGTACTTTAAAGGTATTTTCATAGAATATTACTGCAACTGTGTGTTGTTTTTTGCAGTGAAACCACAGGAAGTTAAAGCTGCAGTTCACTATTATGTTGTGTATCGATGAGGAGTCGCTGAAATGAGCAACACATTGACCAACTGCAGAGCACCGCTGAGACTCTTATCGACCATGCACACACACACACACACACACACACACTTTAACTAAAGAAACACTACATACACAACATCAGTGAAACATTGAACACACAAGAAGAATATCCTTCATTACTATTGAAATATTTATTGACCAAATATCCCAACGGCTGTACTAGAAATAATAAAAAAATCGTTGAAATGTGTGATGTTGCACATATATGGTTCCCAACTTCTGGCCAGCGGACCAATACCGGTACTCACAAAGTTTACTACCAGGCCAATGAACAGTAAATATGAAACATATTAGTAGATTTTTTTGTGGTGACTACCTTGAACAGCCCCAACAACAATACACTGATTAATTCAGTTTAGTCCAGTGGTTCCAAACCTAAGGGTCAGGCCCCTCAAAAAAGTCACGAGACGATTAATGAGAGAGGAAAGACAAAAATGAAAGTTCTGATTAGGGCTGTCGCATTAACGGTAATATTGCCACAACCGCTATGTTCAAATTATTATTTCTTTCTTCACGTGTATTTACATGATACTGCAAATCCCAACAGTTTTAGCCAGCTGTCCAATCACAGTGGAGGAGGGGCGGGACAAATGCCACAAAGACCCATCACATCCTACATTTAGTCTACAAGTGCAAAACAACGATGGAAGATAAAGACTGCTATTTAAACGAGCTCCTAAAGCACTGGACAAAAAAATAATTCATTATACTGCAATATTATTGAAAAAATACAACTTATTCAGCTTTCGATGTTTTTGTTCATGACCAATGTGTGTTTGCTTTATAAAATACTGCATGGTTTAGCTTCTCCACCCCTTAAAGCATTTATTGTACCAGCTCATTGTGAAATGATACAAACAATGGGAGACTGTAATAAAAAGAGATTCTCGACAGAAGTTGCTCAAACAGCTTTTTCGACGTGGCATTAGAGCTACAGCTAGCTAGCTACCCTGGTAGGCGCTAACTTAATGTTGCACCAGTTTGTGGAGCTTCTCAACTCCAAAAACAGAGCTAATTTAGGATCGATTTTTTTATAAAACTGGCAATATTCAAAATATACACATTTCCCTCCTCATAAAATCTGTGTAAAGTGAATTTTGTGATAAAATAGCATTAAAAAATTGTAAAAACTGTTGTGACGATAGATTGTGCCGTTGTAGCGCTTTCTATTGTGGGACATGGTAAGCGAGATAAACTGGTCGAAAGCATACTGAAGGATGTTTCTGTTGTTTGTATACTAAATACTATAGATGCTGCATTCTGGGATATGATGAGGGAGAGGAGGGAGAGAGGAACATGACCAGGAGAGAAAAGGAGGCAGAAAAGGCTGTCAAACATGACGAAGAGGAGACTCTTCAATTTCCTCACTCATTAGGCCTTCACCTCTCTCTCTCTCTCTCTCTCTCTCTCTCTCTCTCTCTCTCTCTCTCTCTCTCTCTCTCTCTCTCCCTCTGCCTCTCAATGAGATGCTCAACAATACACTTCATAGATGCATCTTCATGTGTGTGTCTGTGTGTGTGTGTGTTTGGTGTCACCATAGCAGCAGTATTAGTCTTGTTGTCATGGCAGCAAGAACTCAAGGCTGATTCCTCTCCTCCATCTCTCTCCATTTAATTCAGTTCAATACTTTCCGCACTGAATGTACTATAGCATTTATTAAGCCGCAGCTCCCTGACTGTGCCTGCAAGGCATTGTGGGTATTGGAGTCATGGAAGCCAGAGGCTCAGCTGATTGTGACAACTTGTCACTCACTAGATGTCTCAAACAAAAATGATGTTTCTGATCAGAGCATGAAGTGAATTATGTATTGATCACTCTGTCAAATAGACATCCGAAGTCCTGATGTCACTTCCTGTCTTCCCTCAGTTCCACTAGCTTCTGTGAGCCAATTGAATCTCTTATCGAGGGTTTATTTAATTGGTCTTTTCGACTGGCTGGCTATGTAGGACGATGGTGTCCACATTTTTTGATGGATTTCTATATATATATATATATATATATATATATATATTCTGTGTAAAGTGAATTTAGTGATAAAATAGCATTTGAAAATTTTGTGTGAACATAGATTGCGACGTTCCAGTGCTTTGCATTGTGTTAATTAGTTACTAATTTCCGTATCCATGTATGTTTAACTATTGCTTAGCAAGTGACAAACTGAAGCGAGTGCTGACGCATTACAACAATCTGAAAGGACGCAGTAAACTCGTTATCCAGGCGTCGAGGGGACACACTCTATTTATTCCCTTGATAATGTAATAATTGTGAGCAACACATCTGTGATGATCGTCAAAACGAGAGCGAGGTAATAGACCTTTTTTACAGCCGTCTCCCACCAGTGTGTTACTGGTCGGGCATTTCATTAGGCTGCAGAAAAGCTGACGTTAAATGAGGGTTAACACCAGGAAGCCGTTTTTTTACTAAACATTACTGATGCTTTATAGCAACAGATTCATTTATGAATTCTTTGACAGACGTTTGTGGACAGATTGAGTGTAAAAGACAGAATTAAAGACCACTAACTGACCTTTTCTCTCTCTCTCTCTCTGCAGGAAAAGCACTGGTGTAATCAATAATATTGACTTAGATTATCCAGTTCCAGGTCGCTGCTTTTGTTGTGAGCGCTGGCTCACTGGGACACGTGTTGGAACCATGCCATCGTTAATGTTATTAGCTCCACCTGTGCTTCTCCTGCCTGCTGTGAATAAACAAAAAAGGTGTATTGACTGTAGGTTTAATGTGTGAAACAGGCTTCAGAAACACTGATTATATCTACAGCATGAACTCTGGTAAACGCTCAGGAACACGTCGTCACTGCAGCTGAAAAAAAGCAAGAAGAAGATTCACCAAATGTGGGTTTTTGTCTGACTTTAAAAAAAGAAACGGAATCATTTGACTTCAACGTGGAAATCATCCAAACAGGAGACGATGTACCGGTCCTCGCTTAGAACACCTAATGGACCTATCACCATGATGACAGGACATGCTGCGTGATAGAAGTGTGTGTGTGTGTGTATGTGTGTCATCATTATTTAGTGACATCACCAGTGATAGCAGCAGATAGTTTTATATCTGTGTTTAAATGTGTGTGCATGAATAAAGATGTAAGCTCTCTGCGTTCATAGATTAATAAAATATTGACATGAGACTGAGAGTTTGAAGTATTTCCACTTTTCTTTATATACGTTGTACTTTTTACTGCATTTATCTGGTATCTGTAGTGACTAATTACACTACACAAACAAACACTGGACTTTCACCCTGTAGACCGTGTAAAACCAAGTCAACTTTGACTTACTGTAGTTTTGTTACATTATTTTTTTACCTAAAGTTACTGTGAGGAACTTTAAACTGGTCCTGATCCAGTCTCAGTTTAGTCCTGATCCTCTATCAGACCTCCATCAGTAAAGAGACCATCAGAGAGAAGATGGTCTATTTCTATAGAGTTATTCTTAATGCTCGTCATCGGAGCCACCGGGTCGGATTCTGGTGAAACCAGATGAACTCATGCAGGTTCACCAGAACCTCCTTCAGCTCAGACTCCAGCAGAGACCGGTCCACCATGGACAGACCCAGATCCTCGAGCAGAGACCGGTTCACTGTGGACAGACCCAGATCCGGAGCTCCGGAGGGAGGAGGAGAGCTCAGCTCCCGGCAGCAGCGTCTCCTCCTCCTCCTCCTCCTCCTCCTCCAGGAGCAGAGCTCCTCCTTTCTGGGAGCCGACACCGACACCACGCTGCTGGAGACCCAGGACGTTTTGCTGGACCCGCTGGAGGGAAGGGAGACACGGGAGAACCAGAACCAGGACTGAGAGGGGCAGACTGTCAGACCCTGCTGCTGTAACATGAGAGGTTTTCTAAAGAGACTCTGGCGATCAGAGACACTACCACTTTAGTCCACAGGGGGCGACAGAATTAACACTAAATAAAAGCTCCTACTCGTAACTTTAAATAACGACAGTTACATCACAAACAAACTTATTTTTACCAAACCATGTTTTGGTTAACATTTC